TATATAAAATAAGCAGTTGTATGTCAATTGATTTTTTAAAATTTAAGAAATACCATAAAATATAATATAAGTATTTTAGAGAGGTATTTTTATAAGGGCAAAATTCAAATAAAAATAGAAAATTTATATTGGAAAATAGAATATATTTATATTATTAATATATTTTTAAAAATTATCAATAAAAAATTATATATTAAATTTTTAATCAATATACCAAACACATTTTATTTTCTAATTAATATTCATATACTCCTAACAATTTCGTTCACAGAAACTAATTTACTTAGCAATTATTTATGTCATCTACCACATGAATACATAAGTATGTTTCATTTTATAGTCATCGTTTATTATTATTTTATTTTTAAGATGTCTTCTAGTGAATTAAGAGAGAAAAACGTATTTAAATTATTATTATTATTCATCAGCATACCAAAGTAATTTTAAATACAAATTTTGATAAATAATTTATTTATTCTACTAATAAAAATTAGAGATTTATAATTTATTTTTATTTTATAACAGGATATAAAATAAAATTAAAAATATAAATAATAAATATTAAAGACAAGTCTTTAATTAACAAGTTCTAAATTTCAGTTACTTTATATTTTCTCCACCAGTGCTACGTGAAATATCTTTTACACACTGTATTGAAAGTGTTTGTTTAATGTCTTTTTTTTTTAAATACAAAAATAGTAATCAATATTTCTATGAGAATAATGAATGGTCATATTTTAACCAGAATGGAAAGTATCCCATTCCTATTACATTCTTTTACTTTTCTTCTTCACTTCAATTTTTCAATTTTTTAATGACATGATTTTTTTTTATTCGTGTCTAACATTACTAAATATTAAGTAAACATGTTTATGAAAACAATATTTCTAGGTATAATTTTAAACTTTTTTTTTCGTTGCACATTTGATCTTGTTTATTTCTAAAAAAAAAGAATATATAATTAATATATTTCCGTATAATGTAAAAGATTGTTAAACTGGCATGGTTATTCTCTCTATGTCAAATTGTTGTTTTATTAGATGCAGTTTTTTTTTTTTTTTATCACAACAAAGAATAAAATTAATAGAAGTACAAAGGGGTACTTCAACCCAAATACAACTAAAAGAAGCTAGAAGAACGAAATAAAACACATCCTGCTGGGTCACAAGAACGAAAGCTCTAAGATACAGGTTTAGTTACCCCAGCGGTGTCTAACGGGTAAAATGTTGACACTAAAACAGTTTACATCAAAGTTAAGAAAAAAAGCCTTGAAGCTCTTGAAAACTCCCGCTCACCGTCTTCTTATATGAATCTTCATCATTGTGGCATGATTACACACTTTAACCTGAAAAGACATATACCAGCCAGCACAGACAAAAGAGAAGCTAAATGGCAATTAGTCTCATACATCTTACCGGTTCATAGAACCAATTGGAACTTGCTAGGCTCGCTCCATCCCAGTCTCTAGCGCACCAAGCAGTGAAATTTGCACTCGCTTTACTAAATCCTACTTCTGCATCAAATTTACCATTTTTAAAAATACATTTATTCCTTTGAGACCATATTTCATATACTACAGCTACCCATAGTCTTTTCCACAACATATTTCCCTTCGCTCCTAATCCACCTAATGCAAAGCTTTCCAGGCTTGTTTTCGCCTCACAATGGCTAACAAAGCTTATACCCACCCATCTAAAGCACTTTTCCCATATCTCCCTGGTCATCTTGCACGTAAAAAAGAGATGATTGGATGTTTCGTCCTCACTCCCACACAATGCGCATTTTTGGTTACCTATATCAACCCTTCTCCTAGCTAAATTTACCTTTGTAGGGATCCTATCTTGAAGAATTTTCCACCCTAAAACCATGACCTTTGGTATCGCTTTAATTGTCCAGTACCACTTAAAAATCGATTCGTTTTCATTGCATGTTTCTTCGTTTAGAGTCTCATATGCTTCTTTTACAATATACCTTTCATTTTTATTCGGTCCCCACAATCACGTATCATCTGTAACCCTATTAAGTGTTACGCCCTGAATCTTACTTAGCATTTCCTCCTCCATTTCCTTCTCCCATTTTTATTAGATGCAGTTGATCAGTTTCTTTAAATTATATTTTTAATTAATAATGATATGGTTTTATTGTTTCTCTGTTACTAATGCATTCTTCTTCTCATTCTCTGAATTATTATTAATTAGTTGTTAAAGTATTTTAATTAATATATAACTATGTGTTTTTTATTGATTCAGTATTTCTTAATTTGCATATGTTAACCTTAAATAACAATATTTTGAAATAAAAACGTGCATTTTTAACTAAATAAAAGTTACAGTACTAAATGGAACTCTATTTTTTTAGCGCGTTAAACACACTAATTTAATATGAAAATATAAAAATTATTTTTAATTCTTCGGAACCATTTTCTATATATGTCTATCACTATAGTTATTAGGATAAGACATACCCTACAACGATTGAAAAGAGAACAATGGTTTGACGGATTAAAATTAAGATTAATGAGCAAATTTCTTCAATATTCGTGGTTTTTTTATATAATTCTTTTTGGAAGTTATTTTTCTTAATTACAATCTAAAAGTACACCGAAATTGTCAATTACCTTTAGATGCTGATAAAAGAAGAAATAAAATAATATTATATTTTATTAAACTAATATTTTTAATAATAAGAATTATTTATTGCCTCATTTATCTATTTTGTATTAGGAACTCAAAGCATATATATATATATATATATATATATATATATATATATATATTCTACTGAATTTCTTTTAAAAACTTGTTTATTTACTCCGATCATTATTTTATTTGTAATAAATTTTATTTATGATAACTTATATTTTCGTAGAAGAAATGACAATATCCGAAAAATAAATTCTGTGTTAATATGTCAGGATAAGATAGAGATGCAAAAATTACTCTGAATGATTGGGCGTAAAATATTTTTTGGTGACTTTTTAAGTACGCGTCAAATCTTAAGGTCTTGAAAAAATAAAATTTCATTTATATTAAATCATTTATAACTTCTTATTATATGATATTTTTATGACCATGTCATTTATCTCACTCATTAATTACTTCGTACAAATTTTATACACCATTATTTTGTTTTTTTTTTTAAATAAAGAACATAAATAGTATGTAATTATTTTTATGTTATTTTTTGTTTTTATATTTTATTAAACTTAGATTTTAATATAAAAAATATAAATTTATATCAAAATAATCAATGATATAATTTATATTAAATACTAAAAAAACTAACTTATAATGATTTAATATTTAAATAATCAAAATATTAAAATTTACGTCAGAAATATCGTAATTATTATAAATTTAAGTCAAACAATCTTATAATCGAAGTAAAATTTTAAATGATTAAATAGTTTTAATCATTTTAATACATATGATATACAAAAATTAATTTTGAATTTAAACAACTAATTTTAAAATTAAACACTAAAATTTTGAGACATACAACGTTAACGTCAATAATATAATAGATATCAAAATATTTTAACATTAGGTTAATTTACATTTTAAATTCTAACATCTAATTTAATTCAATAAAAAAATTTAAAATTATAAATAGATCATAATAATAATAATACCATCATCACTTATTGTGTTAAAAAAATGTAAAAAAAAAATATTTATTACTGTTACTAAGAAAAACTTTCGCTTATGCTAAAAATACGAAATTATAAAACAAATTTTATTGATATAGAATATTACATAAAACTAATTTATGTCAAAAAAATTAACGGAAAAAATAAATTTTGTACTAGTGTAGATTTTATTTTTTTCTAGTGTAATTGATGAAAAGAAGTGGAGATATTAGTAAATAACTTTTGATTGAGCAAGGATATATATATAGCATGAGTTAATCTATGTAGATGAGATATTTTTGCATATAAAACATGATCATTTAATTGGGTGTTGGATTTATGGATTTGTAAGGGTGTAAGGTGTGAGTTTGAGGACGCAAATGTAAGTGTTCATCAATCCCAAAAATTGAGGGAATTGAAGGAGACTGGAATATACCAAATGGCAAGAGGCACATTAAAATGGTAATAAAGGAGAAGCAGCCCTAGGATTTCAGTGCCCCAAAAATCAATTTGGAGAGAGAAAGCCATTACTCTTCCTAGCTGCAAAGCAACTCTTTTCACCGATAGGTTCCTACTGTCATTGATCATACCAGTTTTAACCTAATCTAAAATCTTAACTTCATTCGATCATTTGGTCGTGTCAATTTTCCTAGAAAGGTCTTATCATGTCTCAAGTAATAATAATTGGATCTTTGACTTAATATTTTCATCAAACAGGTTAATTTTAGTTATTAAAAAGTTTAAGTTTAGGAAATACTTGTGACCTAGTTATAGTGAAGACAACTCTTATACTTATTTTCTTTAGGTATTGGGATATGAAGGGGAACATAACATTGTTAGTATTTCGTAGAACCGCGCATTGAATCCTCTTTAATTTGCTTTACCACCTTTCTTTTTATTGATTCATGTACATGCTTTTTGCAGTCACTCCCCTTTCAGTAAAAACCCGTTCCTAATACTTCCTCTCCCTCTTTCTCTCCTCCATCGGGTCCCCCTCTAGGGTCTAGCCACCTTTTACAACCATCAAACATACTACTATATTATATGTTTATTCAGAGACAACCATAAAAGCTTCAAGGTAAGGCTAATTAACCTCCTATGCCTTCAATTCAACCACACAGCTGTCATCCTCTTATACGCAGTAGTACTTTCATTATATATTTATAAGGGTCTTTCATTTCAACTTATATCATCACACCCAAAATTAAACCCTGTTTATTCTTCCTTCATGCTACCTACCTATCTCTCTCTAATTTCCTTCCCTTTTTTCCATCAATTAATCTTTAAAAAAACCACCAAATTAAACCACAAGACACCGATCTGAACCAGCTAGCCCCATCCCATATTTTTCATATTTCTCAATTTGGTCGACATGGACACCAACCAGAACACCACCACTAGTGCATTCACAAATGCGAACAGCACTTGGAATCTTGAAAAGATGGAAACAAATGAACAACAACAACAACATCATGACCATATTATTCTCCAAGTCCAAGACCCTCTGGGTTCGGGGATTTGGCCCAACAACTACCCCCACAACCACAACCTTAACCTTCTTCAAATGCATCAAACACCCCCCACAACAACCTCGTCCATCGTAGCACCACCCTCTTCCTCGGGGTTCCTTGGAGACATACTAGGTGTTCACAACATGGATGAAGATGAAGAGCCAGAAGAAGAGCTAGGAGCCATGAAGGAGATGATGTACAAGATCGCTGCTATGCAACCCGTGGACATCGACCCCGCCACCATCCGAAAACCAAAGAGAAGAAACGTTCGCATCAGCGACGACCCTCAGAGCGTGGCTGCTCGCCACAGGAGAGAGAGGATCAGCGAGAAAATCCGCATCCTCCAAAGACTCGTTCCCGGGGGAACCAAAATGGACACTGCTTCAATGCTTGACGAAGCCATTCGCTATGTTAAGTTCCTCAAGAGACAAATCAGGTTGCTTCAATCCATTCCTCACCCTTCCCAACCACCACAGTGCATTGGTTTTGCTACCACAAATGCTAGCACCTTGCTATTAGCCCCTTCTTGTGACTGGTCTTTTGCACCAAATGTGTTACTCAGTTCCACCGCTGTAACGGCCGCCGCGGCCTCTTCTTCCTCCATGGACATTCCGGCCGGCCTCGGATTCGACGGCAGTGGCCATGCTTGTGACGGCTCCTCCAGCTTTAATCAGCATGAGGTAATCAGTGAATAATTAGTGGTTGTTGATTAATTAGGTCATAATTATTGTATTGCTTATGTATATGTATCTATGTATGTGTATGCATAATTGAGGAGTACTAGTGGTTGGTATTAGTGTATGTGTATGTTGTTGAGTGTTTGAGCTTGGGGGAAATCAGAGAAAAAGGATGAAGGAGGAAGAAGAGTAATATTTTAGGGGAGGGTCATGTGTGAGGAGAAAGGTTTGTTAGGATATTGTTGACTTAAGGTTCTGTAGAATAATCATAACGGTTGGCTTCGTTACGTAAAGCCATATATATATATATAATATATAGAAGAATAATGTGTATGCCAGTTTGGGTGTTGGCCGGAAAGTTTGTTTGGCCGACTCTCTTCCGGGAATAAATTCAACTGTGACGTTAGGAACTATTGAATAATGAACAATATCGATTTGTGGCCATATGTATCCCTCTCTCTCTATTAACATTTCTTCTATTACTTTCTGTGCCCTTCTCTCTCTCTCTCTCTCTCTCTCTCTCTCTCTCTCTCTCTGAGCATAATTACATTATACATGCTTATTGGCATGTGTGCCCCCAGATACACACGCACTCAACACTGATTTCTACTCCAACAAGACAAATTAACTACACTCACAAGTTTTTGTATCTGATAATGTTGCTGCCTAAAGGAGTCAAAAGAGAAAACTCATGGCGAGACTGATCATAACCTAAAGCTGAAAATGCCACTTTTGATGATATTGGGTGGGGGGGATGATACTTGTTGCAAAGTTTTAATTGCAGGTATTGTGTTAAGAACTGCAACAATTTTGGATTTGTATAGAGGAAATTATCACCCACATATTTAGTTGTTTCATTGTGCCTAGACTGATATATATTTGCAGGTTTTTACAAACCATTGTTTAAGGCTTCTCTGTGGTAAAAACCTTTAATATCTCTTTTTAAGTTATTTTAAGCATTTTAACAATAAAGTGTTAATTTACTTTTTTTTTTTTAACTTTTTGAAAATCATAGCTATATTGTCATCATAACCCCTTAGCAAATTTCTGTTTATATAGTCTCCTCTTTCTTTTGGGTGCGATAGAATCAAACACTAAAACAGATGTGGATTATAGATTCAAAACCTAACGGTTTCCATTGCACTGAAAAAGAAACCTTCTTCGTCTCCCTATAGGCTTTGTTTCTTTTGTATTTTTACCTCATCGAATCATCTTTAGCCACTTTTATTGTATGTCTTCTTTCTTAGTGAATAAGAATAGAAGGACATTTCGATGCCGGTATGCGTATGGGGGAAAACTTGCACTGCATGCACATGATCATGCCTAAATTTATATGTATTTCCTGCAAAGTTATGACATCTATACTGTCACTATAGAAATTTGATCGAATATTTAATCTATTATTTAGTTTAGTGAATAATTTGCTTTGTTGATAAATAAAAAAATGTCGTATATGGATTTAAATACATAGTTGGATACATGTAATATTATATAGTTATGATATTTGGCTGCACAAAAATTTGTGAGGTGTATAATATATACAACATCATAAATGTATATTTATCCATTAGCTTTAGGTGCTGAATGAGGCATATCAATCATTCATCCAGGTACGCATAAAACATATTATATATATATATATATATATATATATATATATATATATATATATATATATATATATATATATTCTGTATAGTCACTCTACTCTGCAGTTTTCATTCTGGACTTTATAGATCAATAAAAATGTTAAGGTCTTTATGTATAGATTACTGATCAAACTTTCTTAAGGATTTTAATATGAGAACACAACACATGCCAATTTAAACTATTTTTGAAAGAGACGATCAAATTCCTTGCTCTAATAAAGATTTAATTTCAAAATCACATAGCAAGTGGTCACTATATGAAGTGGTAGTACTGTCATGGGTTCCATTCTCAAGCAGCATAGTACTTGGAGCAATGTAATAAATAGTAGTAAGAAAAGAAGTTAATTAGCTGACATAAATGCATATTTTATTATCAATCTAACTATATTAAAATCCATATATTATAAGTAAAATTTGTGAAATTAGGAGTAAAAAGTGTTACTAATATATATCTTCTCATACTTGTAAATGAAAATTCAAAAACCAAATTTAGAAAATGGATTGAAAGTTGATTTATGATTCTTTTAGTTTTAATTTAATATTGTTTGGCACATTCATGCCAAGTTAAGATACAATATTCTATTTAACCAAATATTGTAAGACTTAATTAGGGTTATCTCTCATGAAAAATATTTATGATATAAATAAAATGATATACTTCATACTAAATAGTTTCAAATGCTAAAAATAAACACTGAATCATGTATTATATTTTTATTATAATAAAAAAAAATTCAATGAAAGTTTCTTAATTGCATATCACCTACTTATTATCATTTCTCTTCTCTCTTCACTAGAAATTATTCTAAACAGTTTATATGACTGACAAAAATAACAGACTAATAATTTTTAGTGCTTGGATTATTATTTCTGTAAATGGTTTGTTAGCCCTAATAAGTTAAGCACCATGCTTCTGTTTCAAGAATAATAGTGTTTCTTGTGTCCATCTTTCTTAGCTCATGCTTACAATGATATATAAAAAAACTGTTTAGTTTTAGTTTTATTTTTTTATCTCTTAACTACGTGCAAATTTTGGTCTTCTATTTTATATTTTAATCAATTTAGTATATGGTTTGTTTATTTTCTTTTTGCACAAACCTCTCACTTTCTCATTTTGTAACGCAAGTAGTCGGGGCTTATGATTCTTTTTGTACTTCTGATCAAATATAACGACTTTATATGTGAATTTTGAGTTTAATAGGGTTTAACACTATGTAATTGGTTTATCTTATATATGAATATCTTAATTAAAAAAGATAGAATTTTGATTATTTTATCAAAAAGAAAAGGGATAGAGAAACCTAATTTACCTAACTTGATTAACTAAAAGACTTGAATGACAAAAATTACAGTGTAATTAATTTAAAGGAGAAGAATTAAACCTAATTCATTTCCTTGTTTCCTTATAGCTGAAATTTGGCAATTCCTTTATCTCTCAATTATTCATAATTAACAAATGTTTAGAAAGCCCTAGGTAATCCTCAAAATTCTTTGTCAAGGATTCAAAACATAACATGACGTGGGACTTCCAACGTTCTTGAATCAAAATTAAATCATCCTTAATTTATTTGTTAGAAAAGCACACCTTGATTTCATGTGTTGCATTTGATATGGATATCTAGATTATAATGTTTTTGTTGCAGAACTCATAGATGGCAAGTTTAATTTCCTTCTACAAATCAGAATAAGAAGAATTTAGAATTGTGAATCTGATGGTTATAACTTATATAACACCTATCTTGTGTGGACTAATATAGAATGTGTGTGCAGACAATGAAACGTGAGTGGGTTTACTTTAAATTAATTGAAATTTGCATGCATATATTAAAAATTCAAAGTCAGAATATTATTTTAAAATAAATATATACTAAATTTAATATTATGTAGTATGTATAAACAGATTTTCCAGCTAGCTAGGTTCTACTACAATTACCATAATCCTGCAGATAAGTTAACATATAGAGGTCATTAATGAAATCCCAAACCAAACCCTTGTTTTTATTTCCAGACATTTTCATAAACCACGAAACATGTTATCTGTAATAGCACTTTAAACATAACTCTTCAAGCATATGCATTGACCACTGAAGAAAGAAAGTTAAAATCCTTTGTACTAAGTAGTTAGTAATGACCAAAACCTAAATTTAATCAATTCAAACGCATACTCACAGTTAGGAATGACAATACTGAAGATTAAAAAACCATATAAACCAACCTGCACCAAACCAAATAAACTAATCCTCCACTATTTGTAAGAAATGACTCTTAGGTTATCTGAACATAACCATTTGAATACTCTATAACATTTTTTTAAACCACTACTTTTATCAGATAAAATTTTATTTATTTTCTATATGATAGGTTTTATTTTCGAACTCCTGAGATTTACATAAACTTCTACACTCGTATGATTGGCAACTATATGTTGAAGGCTTCTATAGGGGACCAAGCTATAAACGCCATTCGGGAAACTTACAAACCCAATTTCATATATCGAAAGTCACAGTGGTCGCATATATATAATGATATCAGAAGCATGAAGTTTACAATAATGCCTTCGAACTTTATCTCTATCACACACGTATGCATCTGATACAGAACGCGTGTAATTGATTGTTTTGCAGCGACTATAATCACATGATTTTTTAAGACTGAGAATCACATGAGTAGAGAGACACAGAGAACAGTTAGATACGCGCCAGCACTAGCTCGCACTCACAAAATAGTGGCTGTTAGTTAACTTGGGGGTTCTGCCAGTGGCTTTTTCCCTGATGGCGGTGCATGTGCTTACTGCTATATTCAAAAGTATGCTAAAGCATTCCCGTTTAACCCTTCTACTCACTGAATGAATACACAGGTTTTAAGGTTTAAAGAAAACAAAACCCAACGGGAAATATTGTAACATCACAAGAATGGAGTGCATGAAGTTGATTCCTTTACGTTGCACAAAATCTTATACATTATAATAACTTTATGAATCACATATACATGAAAACGATAAAAGTCATCATTTAACAGACACCTGAAGTTTAAAGACTCGAGGTCCTCTCTGAAAATATTCTGCAAATACTCAAAAACTAAATTTTATTATACTTCTTTTATGTGTCCTTCTCTACATATAGAGTGAGATACACAAATTTGATGTCAATATATGGTTATTACACAGAAAAAGAAAATATTTTGACCATATTTTCCAACAAACAACTTTTCGACATTTTCACTTAATATTTTGACCATATTAATATTAAATTATTTTTATTTTAATTAAATACTTTTTATGATTATAATAATAGTATAATAATAATAAATTGAGTTATGTAATGGATGTTTATTTTTTTGTGAGTGAAAATATATCACCTCTGTATTATATGTGGACATTGCCAATGAGTATTAAAATAAATTAAAGATGTGCTTCAGGGACTTTGATATTTTATTATATATAAAGAGAGAGAAAATGGTAAAATTTTAATGTAACGTAAGTTTTCGAATACTTATGTGAGAGTGGTTTGTTAAAAAACTAATAAATAAATAATTAAGAATTGATTTGTACATAAGTTGTTTAAGTGGAGTAGTTTGTGAAGATAACAACTCTCCGTTGTAGTTTGAAAGGATTATTTATGAGCTATCTAGACATTCCATTTTTTTTCATGCATTCATATTATAATTCTATTTTAATAATATGGTATAACAGTACATATAACATGTTTTAATTATTATTATTATTATTATTATTATTATTATTATTATTATTATTATTATTATTATTATTATTATTATTATTATTATTATTATTAAGGTGTTTATCCTTTAAAAATTCAATTTAATCATTTATGTTTTCATGGTGATTGATTTTAAAGTTAACTCTGTTAATTTCACTTCCCCTTCTTCGTTCTTAAACCCTTGTCATACCCTACAACAACTCATCCTCTTCCTCCACGACCTACCTCCTCGCTAAAACCCACTCATCATACACACGAGGCGTGGACACCAAGCACACCAACCCTGATTGGAGTGTTGATTTTGATTATGTTAGGGATGTTGAGAAATTGAAAGAGGTTAAGGATTATGATTGGATTGAACGTTTTTTTTTTTTATCAACAGGGGTTGTCGTAGTAGGAGGTAGTTCTTCGGGTTTTAAGTTTATAGTGAAAACAAACATGATTATTTAGTATTCATCAAGTTGATGCGATTTTTAAGGAGTTTAGATGTTTTTTATCCAAATTTGGATTTTTTATAAAGTAGATTGTTTTTATTCGTAGCTGTGATTTGTATTTTGGTATATTCATAAATCTCAAATCTCATCAGAATTAACATAAAAAATAATTTATATATATCCATCAATTCGATTTGTAAGAATAAAATTACGAAATTAAACCTCAAAAAAACTATATCTGGAATATAAAACTTTACCTGTTACATGTCCCCATTACACTCACTCTACCAAACGAAATAGTGTGGATTTCGGTGGTTTTAGGTTTTGATTTGGTTTTTGGAGTAAATTTGGGATTTTATGGTTTTGGTTTGGTTCTTTAAAGAGGGAGTAATGGGCTTGATAAGCTTGGTCTGATTTTTGGTGGATTGGGTGGTGGTTTACTTTTTAAAAGGATTCTCTTACTGGTCTTGTTCTGCACCAAACAGTGTTCTTGTACTTGACAAGTGTGTCGTCTCATGTTAAGGTTCCAAACAAGTACTGAAGCAAACAAATATAGAAAGGAATAACACAACACACAACGACAACACCTTTCTAAGGTTGAGATGATTAATTGGTTTTCTTGGGTTTTGCTTCATGATAGTGCTAATAAACCTAATAATTTATTATTTATTTCTATATGTGTTTTTAGTATATTAAAAAAAAATACTAATGCTAATACATCGGATATAATTATGTTTAGATTTTACTCATATTTGTTAACTATTAAAAGCTTACTTAATATATTATTATGTAAAGTGAAGAGTATACACGTGTGAGATGTTAGTAATTAACTTGTATAACTAGTTAGATAACTTTTTTTGTATTATTTTTAATAAAAATAAATTCTTTAAATAGAAAATTATTATTATATTTAATTAACCATTTTAAGACCCAACATTTTTAGAATTAAAAAACCCAATATGATTTACTTCCCAATATAATCACAACATGATTTACTTCTTTCAATGAGCTTATTCATGATTATTTTTAAATAATAAACTTTTTTGTTCTAAAATTTATTTTCATATATAGATAGTTAATTTTAGTTTATACAAAAATTAATATAACTTTTTATTTTTAAGAAATTTTTATATCCAAATATCTAACTATCAGAATTATATATTTTAAAACTATTTTTTTCTTATCTAAATAAATCATAATTACTACATTATTATTGTTTTGCTCAAATTCATGAATGCTAATTCTCTTATTTCATTATAATTAGAATCTCGATTATTATGATTATAAAAATAATTTTTTTTCCTTTCATTTTTAATAGTAGACCTTTTATTTTATCTTTAGATGTTTTTCAAAAGAATTCTCACATGTAATTAAAAAATTAAAATTGTTCTTAGTAAATTTTATTAATTGAATATATTTTAATCAGCATGTTTCAAAACTTATTGTTTTGGAATGAATTTTTTTATGATGTAAATATTAACAATTACTAGCATGACTATTAATAAGCAATTGGAACGACTTGTTAAACATACTCAAGTTTTTTTAAAATATTAATAATATAATTTATTATAAGTTTTAAAAAATTATTGGAAATTACCAATGTGTCTTATTTTTTAATTAACGACTCTCTCGCATAATTATATAATTTTAGATTAACTTTATTTCTTAAAAAAAGTGTATGAATTTATTAGTGATATATAAGTTCTAAGAATGGAAAAGTAGTTTAGTCCAAATTAAAAAAAAAATTTACCTAACACCACCGAGTGAGTTTTGAGGACATATGTTTATGTTCTGTCTCCAACACAATGTCATAATAATATACCCAACAACTCTCCTCGGACTTTGATTTTTCTGTATTCGCAAACTTTATCCATTTTTGGCATCGGGGTTTCTTTCCTCTCTCACCAAAATCGAATCTTTCTCATCTGGGTTACTCTATCTGCCTTTTCAACTTGCTCAGCGGTTGCGTAGCGTGATGGCTCTGTTCTGTCACAATGAGTGCTCTGAATAGGACCATTTCCTTGAACAAAACCTCTTCCTTCAATCGAAGGTCCCTCGCCGTTGCAAGTCCCAGACCCAATCATAATAGCACTAACAACAACCGCTTCGGATGTGTCTCTCTCAGGTTCCAGGTTCTTGTCATCATTGCCTCTGTCCTCTCCTTCTTTGTAGCCGTAGGTGGCTACATGTACGTCCTTCCAAGCCTTAGCTACGCCCTTTCCAATGTCCAAGTTCTCTCATCCGAGCACAACAACGGATCAGTGAGAGATTGTGACGTCTTTGATGGAAGATGGGTGCAGGTTCAAGATCACCCCTTGTACAATGCCACAGAGTGCCCTTTTGTGGAACGGGGATTCGACTGTTTAGGGAATGGGAGGAGTGACAGGGATTATCTTGGATGGAGGTGGAAGCCGAGGAGTTGTGAGATTCCGAGGTTTGATGTGCGTGGTGTGTTAGAAATGTTGAGAAGCAAAAGGGTTGTTTTTGTTGGGGATTCAATGACTAGGACTCAGTGGGAGTCTCTGATTTGTATGCTCATGGCTGGGGTTGAAGATAAGAGGGGTGTTTATGAAGTGAACCAGAATCAGATAACAAAGAAGATCAGGTTCTTAGGGGTTCGGTTCAGTGCCTTCAATTTCACCATTGAGTTTTATCGCTCAGTTTTCCTGGTGCAGCAGGGTAGGATGCCTAGACATGCACCAAAAAGGGTAAAATCCACACTCTTACTGGACAAGTTGGATGATATAAGTGACCAGTGGGTGAATTCAGATATTCTGATATTCAATACTGGGCATTGGTGGGTGCCATCTAAGCTTTTTGATATGTAAGTTCCTTTCTCTTTCACATTTTAATGTTAAGCCACTGTCCATAAGTGTTGCATGGGTGACTGTGAGCATTCATTCTAATGCTATTTCATTGTCATGCTCTTCAGCCTTCACCGTTTTTCTTACCAGTTGTTTATCAGTAGGTGCTGTCTTGGGATAAAATTTAGATCAAGTTCTTTATGTCCTTGTCATCAGGTTCTCAAATCAAATGTGACATCTGGATGTTTCTGCCCAGCATTAAATCACCTTCATTAAATGGATATTGCAATTTTTTTTAAATATCCATATTTCATCGTTTGATTTGAGAAGAACAGAAGAAAATTGATCTAAGTTCTGTCCTTTATTTTAAGGGGGGAAAACTGTTCCTCGGTGATTCAAAGTTTTCATAGCAGTTAATCTATTTGTTCACAGTAGTAGCTATTGCTCTCTTAATAGCTTCATCAGCATGATTTTGCCCCTGTTTAGTGTTACTATACAAGGTATTGAAGCCTTCTATTACTCTGCACATATTTTACTACTTAACAAAACCTTTTGAGCCTTGCAATTCATCAGAAGAACTGAATTCAATCATGCTTAATTGAACATTCTTTCTACTTTTACTTTGTTGTTACCATCTGAATATTAGAGTTGGACTTTTTGCGGAAAAATGTCTCACTTTCTAAAGAGAGAGAGGGATGGAGGGAAGAAATCTACTACATAACCTGAGACCACTCTCTGGGAGTGGGATAGTTTCAGGTTGGACTGAGACATGTACCACATTATGTCCATAATCTATTTTCAGAAAGAACGTAGTTATGCACTTATCCCATCTTGACATGTTGTTTAATATTTGTAGTTAATTTAGTTCATTGTAGTTGCTCCTGAATCCTTACTTTATGCTGCTGTTATATTTTTAAATTAAATTCAAGAGTACACTCATTTATCAACAGAAACTGTGTTATAGTTAAAATCATGCAAAATTGGACAACATTGCAACCATCTTTCCTGATAATAAAGGCTTTTCTTCCAGATGCGTAGCCTCATTTGAATGTTCCAAACTGTCGGGATAATCTCTCTGTCAGTTTTCATGTTGGATGGGAATAGCATGTGGCTACTGTTTGTAAGCATAATTTTGTATAAATTGAACATAACTTACGATTAGCAAATATGATATATCAGGGTTTATTGGCAGAATTGTGTTTATCTGAACTTAGCTGTGGTGAATTGAATTGATTGGAGTGAGGTAAAGGAAGAGATGGAATACACTTTTCAGACTTTTGAAATTAACTTCCATTTGTTCCTCTCAATTAATAGCAGAAAGAAAACTGTTCAAAACATAAGATTTTAATAGAAACCAAAAAACCACAGATGGAAATAAAGTAGTACTATTGAATATTAACAAAGAAACCAAAAACCACGCAGAAATGTATGAACCTCCTTACTCTCCTTAACTACCCAGAGCCTATCTCTGCCCAGACTTCACAGCCCTAAAGCTGATTGCCAGAGAATAATGATCCCCCCTTTTCTCCTCCAATCTCTGCTGAAAACCATCTCTCCCCAAATAGGATTTGAAATAGGTTAGGTTACCCGTCAAGAGCTTGCAGCCACAGAATGAAAGCTTGTCTTGGCTTAACATATTTAGCAAAATGGCTAGGCTTGAAGTTCTTAAAAAGGCTTTTAGTTACAAGGGTCAAGCTATGCACTTTTACAGAAGCATACTACCAATCTGTTTATACAAAAGTTAATTTGTAATAAAATATTAATATTTAATAAAGCATTTGAATTAGTTTTTGTCGGGGAAATCTAATTGTGAGTTTAAGTCCCACATTGGGTAAAAATGAGAAAGTTGAGCAACATATAAAAAAGAAGACTCATAAATCTAATGTCTTAAGATTTTGTTTTGATAGTTGTGTGTTATGTTTCATTCGTGTTGTCTCTCCAGTGAATCTCCCCTTAAAATATCCACTCCTTTTAATATTTGTTAGACAATAAATCTGTTTTGTATAGACCTTTTAACACAGAAATCTATTGTTTTTCTCAGAGATAGGTTCATTAGCCCATAAGTCTATTAGCCAGTTTAAAGCCTTAAAATAAATAGGTTTATCAACATGTTAATGATCAAACTAGGCTTTTATAAGAGTCAAGCCAGACTTGGCTAAAGCAAGTCAGACTAGATTTAGACAGGGCCTAGCCTGGCTTGGCCTTTTTCCATCTCTACTCCCAAAACGTGACTACCACTATTTTGCCAATTCAGAAAATCCTTCTCGACACTGCCATTTTGCCCTTACTTGTCTCTTCAGGCATATGCCTTCCAGATTCTAGGCCTTTTATCTGACTCATTAACCAATTGACCCTGATTCCCCCCTCCCCCCCGGGAGGTTTAACAGATTCATTACTCATTAAATATTCATTCAGTTGCTTTTTAAATTTCTAATGTTAGGCATAATCTGTGTTTCATATTTCTTAATCTTTTTTTGTTCCTTTGTAAAATGGTCCTCTTCTTTCATTCAACAGGGGCTGCTATTTCCAGGTTGGAAGCTCTTTGAAACTTGGGATGACAATTCCTGCTGCCTTTAGAATAGCACTTGAAACTTGGGCATCATGGGTTGAGAGAGAGATAAATAAAAATAGAACACGCATCTTCTTTAGGACTTTTGAGCCATCTCACTGGAGGTATTCCTACTTTACTACTGTTACCATGATTATCTATTTAAGCTTGTTTATCTTCTTTATACTTTATATTATTGCTTAAAATTATTCCTTTTCTCAGTAAACCTTTTCCTAACCTAACATATATATACTTACATGTAGCTTTGCTCAGTTTATAGGATTTTTTATTCATGCACAGGAATTTCTAATCTTTGAAATCTCACTTCCTGGCCTTGCCTTCCGGATAACTCAGTTTTTCTGGTTGAAATCTACTCACTTCGACAGTTATTGATCCAACCTTTATGGTTGATGCAGTGATCTTACCCGTAGGATTTGCAATGTGACTCAGCACCCAACATTAGAAACTGATGGAAGGGATCAAAGCTTGTTTTCAGATACAATTTTAGAAGTTGTAAAGAATTTTAATATTCCTATAAATGTTCTCCATGTTACCTCTATGTCTGCTTTCCGGAGTGATGCACATGTTGGTAATTGGACTGAAAATCCATCTATTCAAGATTGTAGCCATTGGTGTCTTCCTGGAGTACCTGATATGTGGAATGAAATTATTCTGTCCCAACTTTTTACTGAATCTGAAATTCCTTTTCAGCTAATTGAATCACTCGGTAAGTTCAGTTAAGTTCTAATACACTTTTTTCAGCTTTGCTTGTGAGTCTGTGGTATGATTTAAGCATATTCATGACTGGCTAAAATGTACAAACTTCGGATGACTTTTATTGGTAGAGTCATTCCCCCTATATTTAGTAATTGGACATGCATTCTTCATCTACCTTTTTCCTAAATTGATTATGACATCATTTTACATAAAAATTCTAAAACATTTACCACTTACTCAATTTACTTTACACTTCTAACGTGATGAAATAAGTACATTCTTGTGATTCTAATCTTCAGTAACTTTTTTGGATTGTAAACAGTTTTAGGGGTATTTGTTTGACTACTATTCTTTTAGATTGAATTATAATTTAGCCTGTCGCATATTGTTCAAACAACACTGCTTTTATAGCCAATATATAGAGAATTAAGTGTTTGAGGGGCAGAGTATGTATTTTCCTAATCACGAATGCAATGTGTAACTACAAAAATTATTTGCCCTTAAGCATAACAAAGTGCAGCCACAAAAGCTACTTGTCATTGATTGCAATTCTATTAGTAGATCAATCTGCAATTATATAATAAAATCTTTTAAATGATTGGTTCTTTCTATTTCACATGTTCAATATCCTAGTCTTATGTTTGCCTATGGTAAGTTATGCATGCCACTTCATTTCTCAGTAGCTTTCTGTTCTCAAGTTGACCTATGCCCGGTAGAGTGTCTATCTATGTTGTTATTCTCATTTATACCCTGCAGTATTTTCCTTTTTCTCAAGTCAGATGAATTTAGTTAACACTTTTCTTTTAGGTTGGATACTTTTACATGTTTCTGCTTCCCACTTCAACTTATTAAGTCTTCAGTAATAAGCTCAAGTAGATCCCTTAGCCCTTGTTCCACTGTAACTTCTTCTGTATCAGTTATAATCGTTTTTAGAAAAAAATTACATTTACGTATTTTATTTCTGGGTGCAGATTAGGAGAGACTAACACTCTTAGTAATTGCAAGCCTCCCTCAAAAAATTCTGATGCCTCCTAAGAAGTATGGATCGGATTTTTACACCAGAAATCTGGAGCCATCTCATTCTGCAATTTTGACCCCTGCCATCTACAATGGTTTTCTTCAACAAACAAAAGTGTGCCAGATTTTGTAAAAGTATGGCCCAAAATACACATACCAACTTGTCAAAACGAGTGAAACAGGAAGTAATTATTTAATTTGCCAATTCTTTGTATCCTAGTGAAGGTATTGTCTGGGATGCATGTCATAATTTTTGGTCATGCCATAGCAAAAAGAGAAAGAGAAGGATACCACAAATCAATCAATTTATTTTTTCAGATTGCCCTGTTGTTTATTTGAATGGAAGTGTGTTTAAATCCTTGCTTCACTTGGATGCGGTTTTCACTTTTTCTTTTGGCCTTGTGAAAGATGGAGGCACGGCACCATTTGACAGGATCAATCACGGGATCACCCCCATTCAGAATTTCAGACACTTGATGTTCATTATCTGTTTCGGTATTATGCACAATTCAGTGCATTACGAAAATCATATACTGGGTGGAAGGAACGGTTTGCACACTTCATGTTTTAAAATTAATAAATAAATAAAGTTAGAAAAAAAATATAACAGTTAAAAAAAGGAAAACAACAAATAAATTAAACATAAAAAATTAAACTTCACTGGATTAGTAACAATTTACAAGGCTTCTATCTGTAAGACGGGCCTGTGAACATTGGGTTTGGGCCTGAAAAAGAAAATGAGCATGTAGCTTCAAGCTTGCAAACTTGAAATTTTATATAAATCTCTAAATATTTCGTAAGTTTTAATTATAAATTAGTAAAAGTTTATACTTTTATCATTATTCTTTAGTTGATTATACTACATATATCGTTATTTTTTCAATATTATTATACTCTAATATCGTTGTTTTACATTAGAGAAAAAAAAAAGTTTTGGATTTAAAGTGAGGCCCAAAATCCAAAAACCAACGAGAAGATAAAAAATTAAAACCCTAATTTGTAGCTTGAGCAGTGAACCGCTGAATTGTTACTTTGGTTCGTTATGCATAAACAATCCTCCGCGAGTTAACTTCGTGAACGTTAAGTCGTCCAAGTTACGGGTTCACTCGCGATAACGTAAGTCGTCCAAATTACGAGTTCACTAGCGATTTTGATATGTAGCTTATTATTTCATTACAGGGTATAAAACCAGGGAAAATTTTGCGAAGCTTGTGGTGTGAGAAGCTAAGAGCGACTATGGGTAGCAGAATGGGAAGAAGGGTGGTGCAGTTCGCAAACCTACCCATAAAGCTTTTGATGCCAAAAACCTTCACCAACGTCCAAGAAATCGCGCTGAAGACCATTCCTTCTGCCTCCAAGATCGAGATCAAGCGCGTTCTCGAATCGCTCTACGGCTTCGAGGTCGAGAGGGTTCATACGCTCAACATGGAGGGCAAGAAAAAGAAACGGGGCGGGTTATTGATCGCAAAACCCGATTACAAAAAGGCCTACGTCACGCTCAAGAACCCGCTCTCCATTTCGCCGAATCTCTACCCGATCCGAATCATCGAGGAGGATAAGAAGCGGGTCAACAAGCAAACCAAGTCCAGCGTTGTCGAGGAAGAGACCCACACCAGGAGTCACTGGCTTGATGACAGGAAGGAGACCCAACAGCCCTTCAGGGCCCAAAAGCATGGACGTTTGGGCCGGTCCGATGGTGCCGCTAATGCTAAGTTCCCATGGTCCAGCATGAGGTCTGGTAGTAGTTCCACCAGGTAGTTGTCTTTGTTTTTAGATTTGGGTAGTAGCTGTTAACTTTTTGGCCTATTTAAGTGTAACAGAAATGGTGTGAGGTGTGATGGGTTTCACTGGATTCTGTTCGTTAGCGGTGATCATGCGAATAATGTTTTTTACTTTAGCTGGGTTGATTCGATGATTCGTTGATTTGTTGATTTGTTTAAGTAGTTACATGTTTTTTATTTATGCATGTACTTATTCACTGTGCCGTCACAATTTGCATCCAATTTGGTGAGGGTAAAATGCTCTCACAATGTCTACTGATTCTAACTCGTCAAATGCTCTCACTCTCACAATATCTACTGATTCTAACTCGTCCTAACTCTCAGGAGTTGCTGTGTTTTTTCCATTCCTAGATAGGAGTTGCTGTGTTTTTTCCATTCCTAGGTAGGAGTTGCTGTTTTTTCTCCATTCCTAAGTAGGAGTTGCTGTGTTTTCTCCATCCCTAGGTAGGAGTTGCTGTGTTTTCTCCATCCTTAGATACAGAGCGGATTTTCTTGGGAGATGAGGGGCTTGGTCCCCATAGTTTTATATCTCCTATTATAATTTATGATTTTATGATTTTAGTTCCCAAACTTAATGAACATTTAATATATTTATTTATATATTTACAATTTTATCCTTTCAGACTCCTGAGTAACTCTTGTATAATTTATGATTTTATTCGCCTCAAATTTAATGATCATTTAATATATTTAAGTATATATTTACAATTTTATCTTTTTATCCTTTCATCTTCTTCTTTCCTTTCTCCATTTTGAACATTGATATTTAAAGGATCTTCTTACTTCCTTTCTCCATTTTGAACATTGATATTTAAAGGATATAGAATGATGTAGTTTACGCCTTTTACAAATACTGTAAATCTTTTTTTGTTTTTAATTAATATGAATTTTGTTTGCTTATATATGAGTAGAAATAATGTAAGAGACCTGAAGATCTCAATTGGAGGAAGTTGTGTGCTGTTTGGAATAATCAATTAACCTTACAATTTTTTTATTTTTTATTTTTAATTCTCCTCCTCTCTCTCCTCTTTTCAATTTTATCTCAAAATTGTAATTTTCAGCTAATACAGCTGTCCGCATCAATGGTATTTTCCAGATCTCTATGGCTGGCGACATGAGTATCTGCTGGTGCAGTTACCTCCGTACATTCCCGAACATTATCTTTACGTTTCATAATCATCAAAACAGTCAGTATACAGGGAACTGTATATCAGTCTACATTCTTGTTTTATTATGTTTCTTGGTTGAACATTGATTATTAGGTTAAAAATTTCGATTTGGGTTTGATAGGAACTACCCAACTGTGCTACTTTAATTTTGGTTTGGTTCTTTACTGGTTAATAGCCAGTTGCAGAAATAAGGCACAAATTAGTCAGCCGTCATAGTTTTAGAAATGTTATTTATCTCCGAAAGACAGAAAGCTAGATAAGTTTGATTTAGGGTAAACATGTTTTGAATAATTTCCTTGCATTACTTGTCTAGAGTTCCAAATCCACGCCAAAAACTCAGCCCCTGTGACACGGTAATGTACATGTTCCAAAAATTGAATTATTAAATACATATAGCATGTTTATATTTCTTGTGTAGCCTCAGTACATGGGTTCTTGTTAGCTCAAGGGATCCTTGTGACATTGTGAAAAGCATGATGAGTTTTGGAATATTTTAGTACTCCTCTTACTCCTTCCCCTTTAAAGCAGGTTTGGTATTACTTATATAAGTTTTTGTTTGTCTTTATGCTTAGAATATATATTTTAGAAAGATAAAAATTAATTATGTGGAGGAACTTAAAGAATATTTTATTTATGGACTTTCTAGCAAAACTTGTGTATGAACTTTGAACTGTTCTTTAGTAGATAGATGCCTTGTAAATTCGGCCTGCATTTGTTGTTCTTTCCTTAGGAAAACCTAAATTATATAACAGTAACACACTATGCCTAAATTGTTACTAACCTGGTAATTTTAACCGTTATATTACATGTCAACTTTTTTTTGGCTTATCGTCAATAATACTCAATTGATTAGTATAACGTAAGCCACAATAAAAAAGTGTTTTATATGACGGAACAATGATTCCACAATAAAAAAGAATAGTGTATTTTCAAACATGTAATGAACTTATGGAGGAAGTTTGTAAGACTCAATTTAGGGAAAAGAAATTAAACATAAGATGACACTACTGTATAATTAGTGTACTCAATTGAAAATAAGACAATAAAACCTCACTCCCAATCTACATGGAATCGATATTTTCTGTTTATCTTATCATGGTTGATATATTTTTAGTGGAAAAAAAGGGGTGAACTAAACTAAAATTCATATTTATTCGCTTTAAAAAAGGTAACATACATTTTTCTATTAAATAAATTAAAATAAATGTTTATATAATTTCAAAACTATTTACATGGTTATTAATTAATTTTGTATTGAATAAAATATTATTTAAATTACTACTTGTCTTATTTTGTTCAATAATATATATTTTGATATATAATTATAAAATATGTAAATTATATATTTCTCTAAAAATATTTGAATTTAAAATAATAAAATCATATTAAATTAAAAGAAATATAAAATATATGAAATTATACTTTTAATTTTAAAATTTATTTTTTGTATTTATTATATTTTACTAAAATAATATAATTAAAAATCAGTAGATACCAAAAATAAATAATTATTTATTAAAAATAATTATGTAAAATAACATTTTCTTTATATTTTTCTTTGCCATTAAAAAAAAATCCTTTTATTCTCATTTTCCATATATTAGTTACTTTAGTTCTCTTAGTCTATCTTCTCGACTAAATAATTTCATCTGCCATTGCAAGACGATTGTTTGTTTTCACTAAACAATATATTGGAACTATGTTACAAAATATGTCAACAAAAACCAATGAGAATGACAAAGAGGGAAATGTGTGACTTCCAAATAAATGGCGCACAGAAAAATGTATACAGGCGGGCCTGGATGGAATTTCTCAGGAATTGAAAAATCATGGATTAATGGCAATAGGAGTAATACGCTTCTTGGCTGGCTTATTTGAGAAGTTTGAACTCTTCGAACTGGACAATCGTTGCCCTCCCTTTTCTTCTGCCCCTGATTTTATACCGTCCAAACGTGATTGCAGAGTTGCTGTCGCTTCCGTTGATTTCTCTTCTGCACCATTTTTCCTACTATCAGCTCTATCCCCTTCAACGTTCCCAGTTGCCTCAAATTCCATGATGTCAGGTTTCTCTTGTGTTACAGTGCTCTTTTGTTCTGTTATTGCACCACCTATATTCACATATGCTTCAGTGACCATGTCATCAGCCTTCCCTTCTAATTCCATTTTCTTGCTCTCTGCTAGAACTGCACTAATATTCCCATTTGGTACAGTGACATTGTCATCGGCTGTCGGTACAGTACTCTTACTATCCTCCTTCGAGACTTTTCCTTCTAAAGAAATATGTAATAGGGAAATTAAAAACATTGGGGTGGTGACGATGACAGCAGAAAAAGAAAGGCTGCGTACCAGATAAAGCATAAGGTGATCCAAGTTCGTCATTTTCAAACTCCACCAATGAGCAGAAACCATCTTGTGATGACAATGCCAAATAATGAGCATCAGATGACCTTGTGAACAAATACCAGTTAGAGTTATAATTCTCAAACCTAAAAAGGAATTGCATGGAACTAAAATTACCAGGTAATATCCGTTATTGAGGCATAGTGAAGACCGGCTAATATAGCTAACGGAGAGGTGCTCTCGGTGTCATAAATGTACAGTGAGTTCAAAGTGGCAACAGCAAATATGATGCGATACGGGAGCTTGAATAACCCAGCTGCACTAAACAAAAACCAGGATTAGGCATTGTTGAGCAAGAAATTCTCAACACAGGCAGAATTTTAAGCAAGTGCAAGTCTCGGATTTAAGCTGACCCCCATGCCACTCTAACAATTTAAATTATAAGAATACAATCCAGAACTATTGTATATAATAAAACAACACCATGAAAAAGCCTTATCCCACTGGGTAAGGTCGACCGAGTGGATCACACAATGTCATTTGGCTTGACGAAAGACCATTTATTATAATAACTGTGCATAAATGCAAGTATACTGATGTGAACATAACCTATGACAAATATTAGAGTAAGAGAAGCAAAGGAAGTTCTTCAATAATTATTATTAATTGACCAAATTATATTTTGTATTAATCAATTAATGGGCTTTAGTTTGATTTTATTGCAAGTTGTAATAAGGGCCCAATTGGAAATTTAGTTATCAGTCTTTGGGAGACCAAGAAAATGTATAGCTGATTGACTTTTGGTTGCGATAATTTCAGTTACAATCAGTCATTAAGTGGTTTTCAATTCCTAGGTCAATGGATCATTATTAATCTTTATTTGTTTCCATTAAGTAGTTTTTCATTCCTAGGTTAATGAATCATTATTAGCATTTATTTTCCTTTATTGAATCTTTGTAATTTTATTGGCAAAACTTCTATATAAGCTTAATCATTTTTATTAAAAATAACAAGTAGAATTTTATTCAGAAATATTAAAGTTTATTTCTTTTATCTTAGTGAGAATGATTCTTTCCTTCTACCTTATCACTAAATTCCTAAATTTCTTACAAGGTTCTAACCCTAAATCATCTCTTGTGCTATTGAGATTCATATCATTTGGTATTCAGAGCCCCAGTTTAAGGGTTTGAACATCAAATTGATGGCAGAAGAGGAAAATTACAATCAAGAAGCAGAAATTAGTCAATTTCAAATGAGAGCATTGGTACAACATTTGGAAGAATTAATGATACGACATAACAATGAGCTCCATGAAAAATTGAACCGGTTGGAGAATAGAGATCCTGAAGATGAAGAAAGGAGAAATAGGAGAAGGAATGATGGAGTAGCAAGACCAAGTAGGCTTGAAGGAGTCAAGCTTAGTATTTCTCCGTTCAAAGGAAAAAGTAATCCGGAGGCATATTTGGAGTGAGAGATGAAAATAGAGCATGTTTTCTCATGCAATAATTATGAGGAGACCCAAAAGGTGAGGCTTGCAACTATGAAATTTTGTGACTATGCTCTTGTTTAGTGGAACAAGCTACAAAAGGAGAAAGGTAGAAATGAAGAGTCAATGGTTAATATATGGACTGAGATGAAAAGGATAATGAGAAAGCGGTATGTGCCGGCTAGTTATTCAAGGGACTTGAAGTTTAAATTCCAAAAACTTACTCAAGACAATATGGGGTTGAGGAGTATTTCAAAGAAATGGACATGCTCATAATTCAAGCAAAGATTGAAGAAGATAAAGAGGTAACTATGTCCTAATTTATTGATGATTTGAATATTGATATACGTGATATTGTTCAGTTACAGGAGTTTGTTGATATGGAAGATTTACTTCATAAAACAATTCGAATGGAACAACTCGAAAGAAAAAAAATGACATATAAGAGTTCTACCAACTTTGAATCTTCAAGTTGGAAGGACAAAGGCAAGAAAGATGGGGTTGTTACTTCTAGTAGTTCCACACTTATTCCTACAAAGACTCCTTCAATGTCTTAAGAACAACCCTCTAAAAGAAGTAGAGATGTAAAGTGTTTCAAATGAAGTTCTAGGACACTATGCTTATGAGTGCATTAACAAAAGGTTTATGGTTCTTAGAGAGAGAGAATATATAAGTGAATCTGAGGTTGAAGAGGGAGAGGAGAGTGATGACATAGAGGAGGAGGAGATTCCAAAGGGAGATTTATTAATGAATAGACGATTACTTGATAGGCAATTGAAGCCTATGGAAAAAGCCAAAGAAAAAACATTTTCTACACTAGATGTTTAATCAATGACAAGTGTGCATGATGATCATAAATGAAGGTAATTGCACCAATGTGGCTAGTACTAGATTTGTGTCAAAGCTAAATTTACCTACTAAACCACATCCTAGGTCTTATAAACTTCAATGACTTAGTAAGGATGGAGAGGTGCAAGTAAGAAAGCAAGTTGAAGTGAACATTTCCATTGGAAAATACAATGATAAGGTACTTTGTGATGTTGTTCCTATGGAAGTCAGTCACTTACTTCTGGGGAGACCATGACAGGTTCACCAACAAGATCTCTTTCATGCACCAAGATAAAAAGATTGTGCTCAAACCTTTGAGTCCACAAAAAGTGTGTAAGGATAAAAAAAAATGAGAAAAATTTCTTCATGAAAAGAGAGAAAAAAAAAACGTTAGTGAAACAATTTAAGTGAGGGAGAACTATTTAGCCATAAAAAGTGAGTATAATGTTTGTTCTACATTCAATTTGTTAGACATATCTCTTTTTAATGTAGATGACGAATCCGATTTGAGGACAAATCCTTTTCAAGAGGGAGAGAATGATGTAAACATGACCTATAACACGGACTAGAGTAAGGGAAGCAAAGGAAACTCTTCAACAAGTATTGTTGGTTGACCAAATTGTATTTTGAATTAATCAATTAATAGGCTTTAGTTTGGTTTTATTGCAAGTTGTAATAAGGACCCAATTGGAAATTTGGTTATCAGTTTTTAGGAAACCAAAAAGATGTATAACTTATTGACTTTTGGTTGCCACAATTTCAGTTACAATCAGTCATTAAGTAATTTTCAATTCCAAGGTTAATGGATCATTATTAACCTTTATTTGTCTCCATTAAATAATTTTCAATTCCTAGGTTAATAAATCATTATTAACATTTATTTTTCTTTATTAAACTTTGTAATTCTAATGGAAAAGCTTCTATACAGGCTTAACCATTTTTATCAAAAATAACAAGTAGAACTTTATTCATAAATATCAGAGTTTATTTCTTTTATCTTACTGAGAGTGATAGTGATCCTCCTAAATTCTTGAGTGATTCAAGAACCTTTTGACTGTATCAAAGGACTTTCACATCCTTTGTGAGTTGTCTTCCTTGGGAAGAGTGATTTTTTCTTTCCACCTTATCACTAAATTCCTAAATTTCTAACAAGGTTCTAACCCTAAAGATCCTAAATCATCTATTGTGCTATTGAGATTCATATCATATACTAAGTAAACAAATACCTGAGTTGAGTGACTGAGTTCCCTGAAGTTTAAAAATTATGGGACAGAACCGAACAGCTACGACGGCTTTATTTGCACAGGGGAGCTGTATTGCGGGCCTGTATAAGGTCGAATAAATAAAGTAACACATCACAAACGCATACTTCTGTAACTTAATTCATTAGCTTAACATGAATAATTGAACATAAAAGACCCGATTGTAGTTTGAGGCGTTGAAATTTAACTACCCATCTAAAAAGCAAAAGATAGAACTTTGTTTTGTATTTGCATAATGTCTTTTGCATTTGAAAAGGATAAAATAGTTGAAATTTTACCTAGAAAGATCTTTTCTAGAAATTATGTAAGCCGCATTCACGGACTCAGATGCAGTATTAATTTTGTAAGAGCCTGAAATATGTATGAGACAAAGTTATCAATAAGAAACGGAGCATATAGTAAATATTAAGCAGGAACTCAGGCTGAGAGAAAGAAATTAATAGACATGATTCAATAAATAAGTTGCAATTAAATTAAGCCAGATAAAAAAACAACAGAAAAATGTAAAACTTTTCAGCTGACTTAGACTACGAAAAATTCAAAAACTGGCCAGATTCTCAACAAAAGCTCATCCATCGAACTAGCACAAAAAGTAAGATTGCTTGAAACAAGAACTAGAACTCAAAACTAATACCTGCAGGCACAAGTAAAAATGAACCATCGGGAGACCATGCTAATCTTCTGAAGAAAGATGGCATTGTCTCGTCATTGAAGAGATGACATTTTGTCTCCTGCATAAGAAAATCAAGCTTGATGTTCTAGTATGCTACAGCATTAACAGTGCAAATTAAGACATATAATATTCTAACCTCGGAATCTTTTAATAATGGCTGATCTGCCTTGGAAATGATTTGTTGACATACATAATGGATTTTCTCAATGCCCTTTGATTTAAAAGGTTTATTCATGTAAATTCTGCAGGTCCTATCAGAACTAAGAGAAGAAATATATTTCCCTAGAGGGTCCCATGCAACCCCCTGAACATAGTGCGCATGAGCTTCCAACTTCTGAATGCTAGTTCCTGACAGACAAGGATCATGTACTATAAGAACATAAACCACACACATCAATCGCAATTACAAGTACAACAAATGAACTGCCATGTGCCACAGTTCAATTGTATTAAAGCCAGTCTCATGTGTTATCTTTCTTACCTTTGTCAACATCCCATATAATGCAACAATTATCAACAGATCCAGATATGATATACGTGGCATCGGTGGACCACTGAAGGTCCAAAATGTCCTTCAGATGAGATCTATTGCACAAAATATCATTTATAAGCTAGAAATCAATGCAGTAAAACATGATGTTAAAAAAATAATGTGATTGGCCTTTACGATGGCATCCTGTGATCCTTTTATCCAATTTCATCTGTTGAGATAAGGCTTTATTGTTATTGGTCTTTAGGAATGGTTATAGTCATAGTTTGTAATGTTAAACTTATAATACTCATTCTTTCGTAACACGTGCCTTTTCCAGAAATAAATCCAATTTCATGAATTTTAAATAAAAACGCATAAGCACAAATTTGGCATTCCCTCTGTGAATAAACTGTGGATATTGCGGTATATACAATTTGACAATCATAATGGAGAGATCAAGCAACTAAAAATATGCGCAAATCTGCTACACAACCTTTTGTTTTTCTATTAACTTTTTACAATGTTCAGCTTTTAACATTGTGCTTGTCTGCTCGTTGATATGTTAAAGGCCTTACCGTAACACCTTGAGAAACTTCCATGTCTGACCAGTATCGGCACAATGTAGTGTCCATATTATCAGTTCCCCTCCTGGATAAAGAAAAACAAAATCCGATTTAGACAAAGGATTGCCTAATTACATAAACTGAAGCTAAAATCCGTTAAACAGGTCGTACCATCAGCACCAGAAGCCAGCAATTCCCCTGCAAATCATGAGAAAATAAAGTTGTCACTAACAGAAAGCACCACACCGTTTCTCACAGCACAATAACCGAGGGAAACACATGCAAGTCTAATTAATCGATTCCATTTCCATGACAATGAAAGTACATGCGAGTGAACGAACTTGCTAACTATTTGATCCAATCAAATTTTTACGTATCCTAATCCTAGAAGGAGAAAGAGAAGCAGCGAAATGGTGTTACCGGAAGAAGAGAAGCGAATAACATTCACTGGAGAGGTATGGTAAGAGAGGGCACTAAGATAGGAAACTACGGGAACCTTCTTCTGCGTCCCCGCGGGTTGTATCGACCAAAACTGCAAACAAGAGAAGATAAATGAAATCGAGCGAATAATTAACCCTAATCGAATGCAGGGAGAGAGAGAGAGAGACCTTGATGTCGAAATCGGCGCCGGCGGTGGCTAGAGTAGCGGAGAGAGGGTGGAAATCGAGGGATAAGACTGGTTTGCTCTCGTGCCAGCTAATCTGAACCGTGCCACCCCTCATTCTCTTCGGATTCGGAGTTTTAGGTTTAGAATGTAGAAGAAGAACCCACTGATACACTCAGAAATGGACTTAAGCCGCGCCCATTTTCAGTTGGCGGGAAATTCAATGTGGGTCCACCACTCTTCTTCCATTCCAATTTTTCTTTTTCTTCCTTACACTATGAACCCTTTTTCTTCTTTTACTTTTTTAATATTGTGTTTCCTTCTTACACAAAACAGCACATCCTACCTTCAAAATTAGTAAACCAAGCGTAGGGAAATGTTTGTAAACTGCCTTATGTTTTCTTATACATGATAAATAAATAATCACAAGAGGAGTTTCGAATTTGTGTTTAAAAGTATAGCATTTTTTTCAATTTTAAAATTAAAAAAAAAGTTTTTTAAGTTTTTTTTTCATATTTTTATAGTTGATCTGTAAGTGGTCTGGGTTAAATGCATTTAAGGTTTTTGCTTACTGTACTTTAAGGTTTTTATTTAAAAAATATAGATAAATTATTCTAAAATAAACTATAAGTCCAACTCAATCCATCGTATTTATAATTAAATTTATTCGATTAGGGTATTAGATTGAATAATTTCAAAATAAATAATTGTTTACTAAAAAAATACCTTAAAAAAATATTGTCAATATTTCTTAATAATTATAAGTAAAGGAAATATTTACATTGCATAAAGTATCGATTTTTATTATATTATCGGATTTAAACCTTCATAACTCGTTGTATTAAATAAAACTAAACTCGATGTAAAAACTAAATTGAATCCACAAATTTAATTGAAATTGAGTTCAGTAACTTTGTGACTTTTTCACTAAAATAATATTATTATATTATATATATATATATATATATATATATATATATATATATATATATATATGTAATAAAACCTCTTTTACTAAAATTATTTATTCAATTGAACTTCTTTATTTGTTGTATTTGGAATTATATGTAAATCGAATTCTAACTTTAAACTTACCATTTTTTTTAAATAAAAAATTAAATAAAATTAATATTAAAAATAAAATTTTAATTTTAAAATTTAAATAATAATTATATAAAAAATAATTAAAAAATATATTATTTAAATATATATTAAATTATTTAAATATATTTAAATAATTATTAAAAATATTAAATATTAATTTTTTATTATATTTTTTTATATATATATATATTTTTTTTGAATAGGAAATTTAAAATTTATATATTTTTTTATTATATGAATTATTTAAGTTATAATTTTAGAAAAAAATAGAATAAATAAAAATTTAATTTAGGTAATATATTAAAAAATTAAATATTATATTATAAAAATTTATGTAATAGTTTTTATTTGATAAATTATAAATATTATATTAAAAAATTCATGCTAAAATTAAATTTTTTTAAATAATAAAGTAAAAATATTATTTAATTAGTTAAAAATTATTATTATTAATATGAAATAAACTTAAAAATAAAAAATAATAAAAATTGACAGAATTTAATGTATAATATTAAAAATAACATAATCATTAGTAATAAAAATTGAAAAATAAAATTATTGACAATAATGTTAAGGAAATTTTATTTTCCAAAGTGGTGTCCAGTTCCACAACGAGGACGACGTCTATAACGTTTTGGATTTCGATCAATATAGCTCTTTTAATTCATTTTCATTTAAGTCATTTCAATTTCTATGTATGTCTTTTATAATTAATCATTTTTCAATTAAAAGGTATGTTTTATCATTTATTTCTATTTCAATAAGTTTATTTTTCTTTAATATGCTTGTTCTATAATTTTTATTTTGCTACTAATAACTTATTTTTAATTTTACTTTTAATATTTTATATATTAATTTTATCAATTTTTTTCTAAAATTATAACTTAAATAATTCATATAATAAAAAATATATAAATTTTAAATTTTCTATTCAAAAATAAATATATATATATATATAATAAAAAATTATTATTTAATATTTTTAATAATTATTTAAATATATTTAGATAATTTAATATATATTTAAATAATATATTATTTTTATTATTTTATATATAAATATAATTTAAATTTTAAAATTAAAATTGTATTTTAATATTATTTTTTTATTTTTAATTATATATTTTATTTAATTTTTTATTTAAAAAAAATGTAAGTTTAAAGTTGGAATTCGATATACTGAAAATCGAATTCCAAGTGCAATAAGAAAAGAGATATAGTTCAGTAAATAATTTTGAGAGGTTCTGTTACATGTATATATATTATAATAATATTATTTCACTAAAAAAAGTCTAAGTTTGTAGATTGATTGAAACCCACTTACATCGATTTTATTAGTATCCTTTTATCTTTTTCCTTTATTTTTTATAACGCCTTTCATAGTCCTTCATTGACAAATTTCCTTGTTGGGCTTTTGAATTAAAAAATAAAATAAAATTGGGGTTACACTATTTTGAGTGTTCATCTATGAATCATATTTTTCCAACGTTTTAGAAATATTTTCCCAATAAAACAAAATTATATTTTCTCAACTTATTGCTTCAATTTCCATATTCATTTTCTTTTTATGGTTATATTATTATAATTTGTAGCCTTTTTTTTATTACATATAGCAAAAACAAAAGCACCAAAAAACAATTTACAAATGATAAAATAATTTTAAGTTTCTTTCATCTCAATGTATATTCACACCCTCCTTTATTATAATGAAATATCCATTACAACATAAATAAACAATACCAAAAAAAACAATTGATATCGCACTAGATTCAAAACCTTAGAAATGTTTTTACGTTCCATTGATTATCGCTCGCCCAGTTCCTCACAAACACTTGAATATACTTTGATTGTTGTTTTATTTAACATTAAAATGTAGGTAATAGCAAAATTGAGATAATATATATACATCTGTTCGATAACTGGGGTAAAAAGTAAATTAATTAAAAATTAGGATTTTATTAGTAAATTATAAGAGTCAGATATGTAATATTATAAAAATGGAGGGATTAATTTGTAAAAAGTGAAATATATGTTTACAGTACCTTCCTCTCGCTCGAACTCGCTTGACTTAGGGTTCATTTCCTCTCGCTTGTCTTCCTCCGTCTCGTTCGACCTTTGTCTCGCTGAACATCACTGTCTCTCGCTTGAGCGACCCTGCATAGAGTGTTCGTGCTACTCCATTGTTGCTTTATTTTTTGTGTATGTTTGATTGAGTTTTCATTGTTGCTTTCTTTTCTGTTTATCTTTGATTGAGTTTCCATTGTTGCTTTCTTTTTTGTTTATATTTGATTGAGTTTGTAATGAAAGTGTTCTTTAGGGTTTAGGGTTAATTGAGTTGTGATGCTATATTAATGTCCAACAAGTGTTTGATGAAATGCTACAATGAAGAAGTATATTTGCATCACAAACATTTTATATAATACACCCAAGATTTATACCCACGTTTGCATAATACACAATTTCACCAAAATTATGTGTAACATGCTTGGACTTTTTTTTTACTATTTTGTCATTATAAGTTTAATTTTAATAATTTGTAACAGGATTAGTTTGGGAAAAAAATGTCTGCAAAAAGATACCGTCGTGACGAGAAAAAGGTAGTGCATCTTAATTATAGTTATTTTATGAAAAGTGATTTACTAAATATTTAATTTGTTGTATGTTATGTATGTTATACATGTTATATGTGCAGATAAGATTAAGACACAAGATTGAGACAAAGTATATAGCTGATATAAATTTAAAGTTGACTAAACACCAACGAACAACTATTGAAGAAACTCCGTTTAAATGACTTCTTCAAATAAAAGAGTCATTGCAAATTTCTAGCAATGTTATAAGAGAACTAGTTAGCGATGGTCAGTTAGTGATCATTGTTTTAGAATAAAACAATATTTTGTCTCATTCACCCCTTTAGATGTTTGTTTTTCGTTAGGTTTACGTATAAGAGGGGAGGTAGTTGTTTTAGAAGATAGTGGTTCATGTTTAGTAAAAGATTTATTCGACGAAGAAGAACCAATAACAGTAACAAGCATAGTTAGGAAGTTGAAAGGAAAAAAATTAAGCATGATAAATATGTAGTTGACTTTTGTAGGCTTTATATCTTACTTGGGTGGGCAGTTTTTTACTTTTCTCGCACATCTCGCACTGTTCATAGTGTTCCTTTTAGTTTATTAGATGATTTGGAGACATTAGATAATTATAATTGGGAAAATGTTGTGCACGGTTTATTAGTTAATAGTTTGCATCGTGCTAGTACAAAGTTAAATGAGCAAAAGAATGTTTCTCAATTGTACGTTGTTGGTTGTGTGGCTGTCTTACAGGTAACTTTCGTACCTAATGATGCTACAGTTCTTACCAATGATTGATTTATTAGTTGGTATGAAATTATTGTGACTGATGACATTGTATTGTGTAATAGATCTGGGCAGTGGAGCACCTGTCTTTGCCTACTGATCCACCACGAAAGATTTGTTTTCCGTGTTTTCTTGAATGGCCTAAAGTGAACATTCGAAGGTCCAAAATAGAACGTGCATTCATTTCAAACAATGTAAGAAATTTTGTATACAACATATATAAATTTTCCTTAAAAATGTGGACTTATTATATTATGTTTCTAACATATAAAGTTTTCCTTTTGTTAGATTGTATGAGATTGGGCACTGTCTGTGGAAGATTAGACAATGAAAGTTGTGCAAGAAGCTTTGACGCATTCACAAAATGAGAATGCGGACATACCTTCCTCCAGTGGTGCCTCGTGTGACTTGCAACAACTTTTATCTGACCAGCACATATGGAGATGTAAAACAGAAGAAAATAAAAAAAGGATCATTCAACTTGAACGTGAGGTTAAAATTTTGAAAGAACAAATTGGGATTCACATGAATAAGTCATCGATAAAGGCGAAGGAGATTGGTGGGGATGATGACATGTATCAATTGTATAAGTTTTGCACCACCAACCTTGATAATCCAAACCGGTTAGTATATAATCAAATTTATTTGATTCATTCAA